GGGGGTGGGTGGTTGGAGGGTGTTTTCGCGGTGAAGATCACATGGTTTTCGGGAGAAACGGAGCGGGGATCAGACATCACTAACAGAGTTACAAAAGAGGAATTATAAAAAAATTGACAGCCAATGAGGGGGATCATTTACAATGCTACAGAGCCTTATAAGGAATCAGTTAAATTTTATTATGACACCACCAAAATCCTTCGCACCCCACCCCTCCATCCCCCAGCCATAGAAATGACCGTTCCTTTACGCTTATTTATTTCCGTGAGCACAATGGTCGATAATCACTTCTTTCATAACAATGACAAAACTGATGGTAATAGCTCAGGTTTGAAAGCATAAACTTAACCTCTCTTTTTCTTTACCCCAGCCCACACACATCCATCATTAACCTCTCTCTTTCCTTACCTCAGCTTACACGTCCCCTTTTCCTCTTGTGTGGGGCTCCCCATATCTAAGCGCTGAACATTACTGGCCGATGCACAACATTACGAACGGAATTTTGGAGGATGTTAGAGGGGCAGCTCATACAGTCGTGCATGAAGGAAAGATTGTTATAGTTCCTCAGCTGGGGTATGCATTGTCCTTAGATGGAAAGGATGACTGGGTGGATACTGGTGAGTATACAGTATATCGACAAACACGTCCTCTGTAACACCCCTATGGGACGGACACTTAAAATGTTAGATGGTTGCAGATTTTTGTCTGTAGGAGGGGCAGGAAGAGACCTACCCCACCCCTCTTTTAAATATTTGGTTATTGTTGAGTTGAGGTAGAGTGCTGGACTTGTAATCCGGTGTCCCGGGTTCAATTCCTCCACCCTGCCACTCACTGGATTTGTTCTCGGTTGCCCCTGGTTCAACTACTTGGCTACGCTCTGTAAATAGCCCACTGGTCTCCCTCCTGCTAGTGGGAATTTTTAAGCACTCAGTTAGTTTACATTGTGGCTGAAAAGCCCTTAAGGGGGAGCGTCAATTTACGTATTTATTTTTTATTTATTTTTATGTAAAGTAACATCGAAAAAGAGGCTAAAAACTGCGAACGAGTCTTCACTAAATTTTTATTTGTTTAAGAATGTCTCCTTTACATGACCTAAATGTCGAAATTCGTCGCGGTCTTGTAACGAATTTTTCCGTTTCTTTTAAGAGAAAATCCTGTTATTTATCAATCTTGATCAAAAAGGTACTCTACATTTAGCGAAATAATATGCTCGATATCTGTCCACGGACATTATCTGCCTCAAGAAGTGAATAGTATACCTAGAGTGAAGCTTGAGGAAAACTGTGAGCTTCTGTGAACAGAGGAGTCACGAGGAGAAACTTTTCTCCTTACAATCTCATGAGCAACTGTTGGGGTTTTGGCAATCCGTACCAAAACTCAATGCTAAATTGGATGGATCTGCTGGTTGACCCATTCATACATTTCATGACAGTTTTTTGTCCCCTAAACTCTTCAAGTCATTGTTTTGTTACATGCCACTTCATTGACGACTGACACACCCTCTCCTCTAGGGAGGAGTCAGAAATGCAGTTCGCTCCCCATTGCCGGTCGCTATCGAAAGCCGTTTGGTTGTAAGTACGGTTTCAGTACGCGCACTTTCCCTTACGCGTGAAATTTTTGCGACACCTTTAATTTTTTTGGAGCATGCTCTCCGCGCCCTTTTCACAAGAACTTGCGTGCTAACCATTACCACAAAAATTTTGTTTAGGTTCTTTTAAGTCGGAAACACATTTGAGGAAAGTGTGTTTGCGTTTGTGTGTTTTGTTTTTTTTTTTTAAGTCAGTTCCACATAATTTATACATTTTTTAGTTGTTTGACCAAGAAACAATAGCGAATACATGTAATATCTAAGAGCAATTCAATATGATTTTACCTCTCCAATTTGCACCGAGCTAGCTGTTAATTCCCATGCACCATTTTTTTTGTTGTAAGTTTTTTTGGATGTCGCAAAAATTCCATGTGATAACAGACCCCCACAGATATTTTAAAGAAACGCTGTCAAGGGATTAATCAGGTATTTTTGTTGACGACTGATATCAAACAGAAGTCTTTCTCGTGTGTGGGACAATAACCGTCTCCTAACCCTATATCACCGTCAAGGACCCTATATCACCGTCAAGGACGGAAGTATATAGCTCAAACTTGAGAAAACTAGTGGTCTTGCAAAATCAATTTCCTGTCAGGTCTTAGCTAGAAAAAAAATCTCTTGACAGTGTTCCTTTAAACAAGAGCACATTTAAAGCCTCCCTCCACTTGCACGATTCTTAAAAGACATCTCTGGCACTTACTTCATTTCACAGTCATTTTGTAAACATTTTGTTTTTAGTAAGTGGATTATGTTGAAAACAGTTTGTTTTTAGTAAGTGGATTATGTTGAGTTTCCAATTCACAAGAAATAATGTGACGCATCAGGGAGGTCACATCTAAAGCTCTCAAGTTTTCGGTTTTCTCACGACCCTCGATTGTAGTAGCGATGAAATCTTGATAAATTTTTAGCGATATATCGATACATCAGCCGATGAATTCATAGATAATCCAGGCTGGTTTGATTTCGGAGATCGTCGGGGATCTATCGATCTGCACGAATTTCCGAACGGCCGAAGGTTATCCATGTGCAGTACCTTCCGACCGACTGACCCTGAGGTTACTTGTCCCCAGTTTTCGCAAAGTTGACCGTGCTTGAATTATTCAATATGGCCGCTTGAAAACTGAAAAAATGAATCCGTGGGTTTTGGAGACAACTGCTTTGAAAATGATTAACCTGAATTTATATGCTTCAACGTAAACAACTTTAAAGTGTTTCACATCAAATTAAAATGGTCATCAGTGTCAGGTAGGTCGCAGCTAATCAGGTGTCGATAAATTTCAATTTTTGCATCACTTGACTTCTTATTTTGAGAACAGTTTTTCTTTGTAAACATCTGGGCGAGTTACATCGAAAACGATCTCTCGTAACAACCTTTTAAAATGTATTGTGTCACGTTACAAGGTGGTTTTAACGCAGATTGCGTGACAGAACCCTCAAGATGTGAGAATGGATTTACGATGTCATTTTGGCTCAAAGTACATGGAACTGGGTACATCTTATCTTCGGGATCCTTTACGAACAAAAGGAATGGTCCAGGATATCAACTATATTACCACCAAAGCTTGAAACGTTTTAAATTTCTTCTTGAAACGAGAGATAAAAAATGGACGTTGTTTATTCACGAGGAAGTCGGGCTGTGGACCCATATGGCTTTTACATGGAGAGAACGGAATGGACTTTCGTATTACGAGGATGGGAATTTGAGCTCGTTTACAGACAAGCCCGAAATTGTGTCTGCTTTGCGCCAACAGAACTACACACCTGTTATCACACTTGCTCGACCCAGCAGCAGTTTGGATCTCAAGAAATTTGGAAAGTTTGAAATTTCTCAGTTTGCCATCTGGCAAAAAGAACTTTCAGCAGCAGATATTGCAGGAGTGTATGGAGATGGACTCTCTTATAATTCAAACTTTGCCATGTGTTGTCATTTCAAATCAGGTGGGTCTCAAATGTCGGATATTGATGCAATGTTAATGACAACTGCCCTCACAGTATAACAAAGGGGATATATGGGTGCAAGTTCTTCCTCACCTATTGAAAATTGACTCACTGATAATCAGACCTATGATCTTTGCTGTCATTTTCAATCACAAGGGTATCAATCTTTTCATCTGGGATAGATGAAAGAATTTTTTAATTTTTTTTTTTTGGGAGGGGGGGGAGGGTGGTGAAAACTTTGATTCTGAAAACAAAGGATATTTTTCTTGGGTATGCCATGGCCTGCATGAATCATTAGTAAGCCAGCAATATTACAAGATATGTAAATTTGAAAATTCCCACCTATACCCCTGGCCCTTCTTGACCCTGGTCCTAGTCATAGAATCCTAGTCATGGAATCCTTTGAATCAATGTTCAAGATTGAGACTAGTGTGTCCCTTCTTGTGAGTCTCTAAGCAAACCGAGCTTTGAGAAAAAGAAATCTTAAGGGCTCTCCAAAGACCCGGTTGTTTTAATCTAGAAACTCATATTTCACCCTGGTGCAATTGATGTGCATACTATCCACACAACACTCCTCTCTCCCCACCTACTTGATCTTCTTGAGAAGGTGCATGCTTCTGATGACAACTGCAACAATGCTTACAATGGAGATAACCTGTGATTTGATTGTAAAGTATACACAACCATACTGTCCTGTACTTTCAGTGAGCCCATGCATGAAAAATCCATGTCACGACCCTGAACATTGTCGCAGAATCATGGAATCTGCTGAGAGGAAGTGTATTTGCCCCAGTGTCAATCTTCGGCTTAAAACTTGTAAAGGTAACAAGAGAAATATTTCATGACATATGCAAATAAGTGCAAAGGCATCTGCAGTGATTCAGTATGATTCATTTTATTCATAAATCTGTTGATTTGTTCAGTTATTCTTCAAGTACATAGAAGAAATTTGTATTCATTTATTAATTTACTATCTTGTATGCTCACTTCACAGATATGTTCAGTGACCAAAGTTGTATTTTCTGATATACACTTTTAAAAAAAAGAACTTTCTTTATCAGGGTCACCCATTTGAGGCAAACTAAACCAATGTAGAAATTTCATTTTTTTATAATTTGGAGTTATAATCAACTGGTTAATTTAACAGGAAAAGTTGTAAAGATAAGCTGGCAACTGGCGCATTTCACTTTCTACTCTGAAAAAGCGGGCCGGCTATTCTAAATAATTTGGTTCAATTCTCATCATTGAAGCATCATACTGTATCAGTCCGTTTACTCAAAATCTTTTGAACAACCCTGCATAAACACGGTGGTCAAACGTCTGTGCATATGCAAACGTTGTAGTAACTAGGTGGCGCTAGGTGGCGTGCTTTCAATTCTCTCAGACGAGTCACAAACCACCATACAAAGCAGTAAGTCAAGGTGTTTTAAATGCGTATAACTTCTCTGGCGAAGCTCAAAACAGAGAGGTAAATCAACAGGATAGCCGTCCTAGAATAAGTCTTTTTTCGAAAAGTGTCGAGTTTTTATTTTCTCAACTTTCATTTCCTTTTTAAGATTTCTATGAACGTTTCGATTTTTCTGGGCAGAGGTTCTTCCTTTGAAATTTTGCGCGGGAAATCGGCGCGCAGCCGGCCAGAAATGAATCCTCGCGCATGACCAACGTTCGACCGCTGTGTTCCCTGCATACAAGAAAATCTCATGAATTTCACTGAAATTTTGTTTAAATTTCTTATAGCAAAGATAACAGGTGAATGTGAGGATAAGAGTACAAGTTGCGCCGTGTTTGCATCACAATCTGAATACTGCAAACGAAGAAAAATGCGTGAAATTTGTCCGCGGTCTTGCAATTACTGTGGTGGGTATACCACGCTCTGTTTAAAACTTGAATTGAATAATTGAACGCAAGTATTGATTGTTACCTTCATAAAAGTCTACATCCACATATTTATGGCTGTTTGGTAGGATTAGAGCAATTTTCATTGAGTGTCGTTGCTTTACTCCGCTCTGTGATTGATTCAGAAAACTCGCGCCACTCTCTCAACCAATCAGATGCAAAATTTAAGCGAATCACGACTTGGCAGCACGTGTTTTCCCGCGCTTTAGGAAGTTTGATTCGTTCCTGCTTTGAGCTGGCATTGGTTCTTAAAGGTATTTACCTTTTTCCTGAATGACTTTGCGATGTTTTTGGTTTTGGTTTTACGACACTCAATCAAAATGCGCTTCAAATAAATGAGGAAACTTTGCGATGCCTTATTTCCTTAAAAGGAATCGGTCCTTGACTAATCTGTTCCGTTACATCCGAAGTATTCTGTGTATGAGTGGAACATCCTTCACTATTTTCACGGTTACACTTCGAGAACAGGTATAAGAGCTAAGTCGACTCTTAATTCCGATTTTTCCACTCAGAGATATAGACACAAATCCGTGGGCCTGGTTGTTCAAAGCTGGGTAAAGATAACCCAGGGTTAGTGCAAAATTTGATTTCAGATCTGAAAGCTTTAAGAGAAAATCCAGCGTAATTTTTTTTTGTCTACAATGCAGTGATTGGATGCTCTAAAGAGAATAGAGAACATTATTCCAAACAGGCTTTTGAAAAATAGAATGAGAGAAACCCGGATTAAAATTTAACCTTGGCTTGGCGCTTATCAGCTGTTGAACTACTGGGCCCTGCTGTTTGACTTTGCAATATGGTAAAGGAATCGACATATCGTTATACAAATGTTTTTCCCTTTGCTTGGTCCTAGCCCCTGCGCGTCCTTTTACCACGCTGAAACCGACACTGGAGACTTCGTCGACTTTCATGTCTAGAATATCTCGGAAATCCCGAAATCCCTCCACGGTGATCCCGACTAACGGGGGTCCCACGGGTAGTGGGTTAACCACAAACCCGACTAGGACCCCGACTACAGCCAGAAGAGGTAAAAGAGGTGAGTTATTTTCATGAGACTATAAAGAGTAGGTGGGATAATCATGTATTTGCACTGGGAAACAGGGAAATGAGTAAATAGAATCATGACGAAGGGAAATTTTGAGCTCAGGGTTTGGATAAAGAATTACATGTTAGTCAGTTAATAAAAGAATAATAGTTACTATTGTCATAATTATTATTATTATTTTATTTATTATTTCGCTTTCTTCTTTAATAATCCCAGCAGTATATAGAGCGCTTGTTACCCATAAGCCCGCTCTAATTTCTCCAATTTCAGGCGAATCTTGTGATGGACTGACCTGTGAGTACCATGAGCGCTGTGTGAACACTTCGCATGGTTATGTCGAATGTAAATGTCCTCAACATACTTGCCATAACGCCAGAAAAATAATCTGCGGCACAGACGGCAAAACTTACCTGAATATGTGCGTATTGAGGAAAGAAATATGTCGCGTAAAACAGCAAATAAAGAAGAAACACGATGGTCGTTGCAGCGGTAAGTACTTTCTTTTCTCAAAGTGACCGCGATCGAATGGTGAATGCTAGGAAGCTGACGCTTTCTCACCTTACACTCCCGGCACCTGCTCTATTGCTGACTTGGCGCCCAGTTCTTGCGCGTTTCTTTTCAATCTTACGTCGACGCGAAAGAAGAGGACTGGGAACAATCTGATGGAAAGGGGATGGAATAGAGGGGGGGGTAGGTAAAGTAGGCCACAAATGTTAAATGTTTTCGGAATTAAAGCGGCTACTTCATAATATTTTGAGTTCTTTATCAAGTGTAAAAATGTTTGGTTTGAATGGGCTAGGGTACACCTACACCAGAAATGAAAGAAGAAACAAACAAATATTTTATGTGAAGCAGAAGATTTAAGAAATTACCGGCCACCGTTACTTTTAGAATTGAGAAGTCGAATATGTTGAGTCGTTGAAGAGAGAGAGAGAGAGAGAGAGAGAGAGAGAGAGAGAAAAAAAACAATATCAGACCTAACTGTGGAATAGTTCAATTTAGTTTCGACCCCACGTGTAGTAAAGTACCTATCCTTCCTTCTGCTTCACGAAACTTCTTTATATGAGATTGATGTTAAAAACTCTCTGTGAGAAAGTTTATGGAAGAGAAAGAAAAAGATTCGGCACCTCTTTTTTCGTGGAGGCATTTTGTATAAGATGCTTTTGTTCTCTGTTTTAACTAAAGAGGTTGAACGAAATTTTAAAGTTCTCAAAAGCTCCTTCGAACCACAAAGTCAATACCTAAATCTTAGGTAGCCTGGCCTCTTGGCGCGAAACAAGACCTTCCAGCTGGTTTCCAGTTATCAGTTCAAAATTGTGAAAAATTCGCGACAGGGGCGTTATTTAAAAGGATTGCTATCACTACTCGAAAATCAACATCATTTAAGTGACGCCGCTATCTTCCGAGCTCCAAGATATTTTTTTGTATTAGCTTTAACCATCATAGGCATATTTACGATGTTCTTGCTTCTGAGATCATTCACAATTTACAGAAAACCAAGTGACGTTTAGTTCAAAGTGCTACTTGACTCAGCCAAAGAAGCGTTAATTTCCGTTACGTTTTTACTTATCCACCCACGTTCGGGTGAATAAATGCATTATTTCCACGTCAAAAAATAATCGAGAGGTAACAGATTTACTGTATCCCACGCTTTTAGTGTTTCATAAGAATTAATTTTTAAAACCTTCTTACTTGAAAGCAACTTAAAAGCAATGATGAAGCAACAAAGAGTTAGTTATCTGAATAAAAAAGCTGGTGCCGTAATCTTTTATTCAAAGCAACCTGGGTAGATCTTGTAAACCCTTACTTAGGATATACTTTTTTTTTTCAAGAGAAGAGCCTTAAATATTAAAATATACTTTTTAAATGGGACTTGAAACCTTCATATGACGCAAAGTTTTTTTTTTAGCGACAACCTTATTAAACAAATAGCAACAGCAAGAAAGCAATGGAGAGAAATTGTTTTAGATTTACAATTATTTGCTTTTTAAAACTATGTGCTGGAGTGGAAATTGTTGATCTAAAAAATATCATGTTTCAGATACACTTGTAAGTTTTTTTTTTTATCCAGTTTGAATTCAAATCCTCCCAATTTATAATCCTCCTCTGTTGATACTTACCGCTAATCGTAGCAAACTATAGAGAAGAGATTTTAGTTTTTGAGTTATCGATAGCTTAAGCCCCAGAGACTTAGCTTCACCTCAGTAGCTTTTAGTTTGCCATTAAATCTCGACGTTGCGTGCATCTGTTTGCAAACTTCACAAATCCCTCCGGCAGTTTTTAAGTCAGGTGAAAATTGCCCATAAGAGGAAATTGAATGTATTAGTGACTCTTGAAGAAAGCGTTTCTCCCCAGAGTGTTTGAAAAGTTCTGTCATAACAAAGCTCTGAAATCTGTCGTGTATAAAAACTGAAACGACTGGTTTTGAAAGTACCCACTCGTGAGATACACTGTGTATGTTTACATAAACAATGATTTGATTTAACAACTCATCACGCGCGAAATTGGGATTTTAACAATGTAAAAGAGAAAAGTGGAACTCTTTGGTACAACTCTCATTTTTCTTGGAGTGATTTTTGTTTCAATAAAAAGGTATTAGTGTTTTATCATTGTCTTTTGCGTGCGCCAATTTGCTTCAGCTAACTGAATCACAATCTTCCACAAACAAGCTTCAGTCTTCTAATGTATATTCACTAGATTTCTAGAGTAAGCGGAACAACGAAGCTAATTTTTTTCGAAATCTTATACTTTTTTAAACTTGTGACACTTTTTCATACTGACAGTGTCTTGACTTCAAATGGATAAGAAAAAATCCAAGGGAAAGGTCATACAGGAACTAACCTTATTTATGATAACATAAGAAATCTAAGCTACTTACTGAAATCAGATTGTTTTTCTCTATTCAATTACTCTGACTAAAAAATACTCGAGACGTTAATCATTGAAGGAGGCTCCCTGCTTTCAAAACGCAAACCACAGAATGAACGCGCATGCATTCCTTCGGTAAATGATGCAATTTGGCAACACCTTGGAAAGATGTTTACGGTACTGCGGTTTGTGTGGAGTTATGAGAATTTACTGTTTACATTTCAGATGGGCTTCTTTTTTATTTATCAATGCAGTTTCATCTCGATCAGGCCAGCTAGCGTAGTTTAACCTTTTTGGGCTTGCGATTGATTCAGTATATGAATAAACCTTGACAAAAGTTTAATTGAGAAGTTCTGTTCCATTAAATATAAGCCTTGCAAAAGAATACTTAAGAATTCAATCCTCAATCTGAAGAATTTTAAGTTCGTCTTTAAAATGCTTTACCGAGGTTAATGAGAAGAGATGGGAAAAAGCGATAGAAAGTTTTGGTAATTTAAGGTGATGCACAAAACTGGGCATAGCCGGTGTTGGTATGGTGCTATGTGACAATTGCACAAAACTTCGACCTAGTGAGTTACAAATTGAACGGAATCGTGCAGATGAATATTTCATTTTCAAATCTTTTGTAGACATAAAAAAACAACAATTATTTTTAGTCTTGTTTCCCGTTGGAGTTCAGGTTTTGTTTGTACTTCTTCCAAATACTTACATTGTCGAACAATGTCTGCGTTTTTTAATAAGATTTTGGATCAAATGCGTTGACGCAGATCTCTCTCTATTGGTCCGCCAGTAGTTAGTTAGAAAAGTTCTGCATTTTGTGTTATTATTTGATATCTTATGAGCAAAATAGCGAAAGCTCAAGAAGCTTATAGCGAGCTCCTCTGCCGTCTGAGCGGCTTAAAAACCGTTGTGTTGAGTCTCCAGTTTGGAATCAGGCGCTTAGAGATAGTGTTAAGTGCAATTGACACTTTGTTTGTAGCGTTTCAACAGTATTAGTGTTAGAGGAATCTCTCGATCGGCGGTGCAAATTAAAAACTGCTTTTTGTGCTTCCGAAAGAAGTTAATTAGCATTTTCAACAGCGATCTTTCAGATCACACATGAATAAATTATAAGCTTTCATCTGTATTGAAAACTGTATACAATACAGGTGATTCATGGGGAAACCAACGAGACACGAAGCAACGTGCAAACTTCGTTTGCGCTGACTCAACTTCACGGCAGCAACTCCTTCGCGGTTTGAAGCCGGCCCCTAAAGAGAAATGAAACAGCACTGACAGCGTTGATACATATTTTTCTATGTGAATCAAGAATCCATCCTAAATGTAATTAGTTTTCTGATCCTCTCCGCTGGCTTAATTTATCGACAAATGAACTTAACTCCGTACTCAGAACTACTTGTCTTCCTCCTGATTTCCTTTGCTGGACTCTCCCATGCAAACCGCTTCAAGAGACGACAAAGGAAAACAGACGTGCTTGTCAAATTTAAAGGTTGGTGCCTGTTTTTTTGTCGTGAAATCGCGCACTGTTTCTGTTATATTTTTTTTAATGCACGCTTTGGCAACCGAAATGCGCGCTAAAACAAGTATCGAAGAAATTATAATATAGGTTAATTTATCGACCGCTTCTTTGACAACCTACAGCCCTCACGTGTAGTTTATAAACGTTTATTTTACTTCATCTTTTTCAGAAATACATTTTATACCTTCTAAATCTTGTTACGAGATTTAAAAAATTTTGCAAAGACGATACAAAGGGAAGTGTTAATTTTTTTTATTTCACAATTCAAATCCGCCGTATTTTGATGTTTCATAAAACGTGTTTCAAATGTTTCAAAATTTACAATGTAAATTTTCTTTCCAATCGCGGGTAGGGATTGTTTTATTATTTCTCTCTTAAAAAGCATCATTTTAACGTCCTTTAATCGAGAATCGACATTCACAGTTTCTAAACTTTGAATTAATTTTTTGTTTTGGACTGCAATTTTTAAGATTAAACATAAATTTTTTACGGATATTTTCATTGCTCGCCCCATAGTTTCGTATCTCGCTTTCTGCTTTGATTTGCGTACTTTCAAAATAATTGGTGCAAGTTGCCCGAAATATTCTCCTTTTTTTTTTTTTTGCACTAAAAATAAATTTTCGTTTGAATGCATAAGAATAGTATTGATTATTTTTTTATCGAAAAGTATTCACCATGTGGTAAATTTGTTCATGTTGTGAATTGAACTATATCTACGTTTTGGCCGCTTGCTCTGACTTCCTTATTTATGTTTGCTTTTGGTTTTATAAGAGCGTGAATAAGAGCACTCGAGGTTTCTCAAATAACTCGCCCTTCCAACTTGGTCCATCTTTCGCTGCCCAGTTGTGATTTTAAGTAGCTTTGTGAGCAGTGATTAACGGACTGCGGTATTTTTATATTCGAACTTTTGGTGAGTAAAATGAGGACGCCTTTATTCCTAAGTGCAAATAAAGAAAAGGAACTGATTACCACGCATGCCTAAGTTTAACTTTAACTGTACGTTCTTGATAGTTGATAATGAACCTTACAACAATTCCGTATTAGACAGAATGCGTACTTTCTAGCCGGTGCGTGGGAAATATCAAACATGGTTACTTTGCTTTCATAGCTACGGGTCACTTTAATGCATACAATAGAATGTGTAAAGAAACTTTAAAAATGTTTGCCAAAATCACCGAAATCTGCTTGGCTTGTTTATCAGTGCCAATAAATAAATCAAAAGGAAAATCTGTGATGGTTAATCTGTTCGGTTTTACCAGAAGCTATTTTGGTATCGATCGCGGATATATTAAACATAATCAGATCACGTTGAATTCTTCCACCTTTCACGGAGCAGTGTAAGGAAATCTTTTGAAATTAAACATCTCAGGAAAGATTTAAAAATTATTACATGACTATTCAAGAGAAATTTCAAGCTGAAGAGGACAAAAGTTGATGAAAAATGTGTGGCTAATTTCTGATTTTGTCCAAAGGGCAGGGCGTCTTTTCTGTTCAAAATTTGGGGAGTCTTTAGCTCGATAACTCGATAACTGTTCCAAGCATTTTATCATCATTTGTAGTAGAACTTTACAGTCCTTGTTAATGCGAAATTTCTATCAATTCACCGATATTAACATTCTCCGTCCCCAATCAGATTTTCAAGTTTTCTGTTCACAACTGCAGGCCAACAAGCCGTTCCCAGTTTTCGTTTGCCGTTCTCGTTTTCCATTTTTATAATTCTCGTTCCTCATGATTCCATATCAAATAGTCGGCCCGCGGTTCTATTCCATTTTTCCTTTTCTTTTTTCGATTTGCCATGTCATTGTTTTGAATTTTTTACCAGCTTTGCATTTAGCTGCCTCCGAGTGTTGAATTTGATTCAAATTCTACTCCTAGTTGGATTTGTTATTTCATTGTCACCGAGTTTCTTCAGGCGACAGTCCGCTTGCCAAAGAACCTGAGGACCAGTGTACGAGGTCGCAAAACTTTGCACGACCTGAGCGTCTTAAAAACCTTTGTCAGACCTTTTTAAGCTCGAGATCCGAGTTAATTTTCTCGATCTATTTTTATTTTTGCGTTATCTTGGTTTGTGCTTTTCTTTATGATGTCGGGTTATCTTGACCCTAATATTCTGTAGTTTTCTTCAGAATAAGGCAACTTTCTGTATATTTAAAAAACTAAGCGGAAATTGACGCAGGAAGGAAGATATCACAAGTTTTCACAGAGAGATCAAAGATAAAAGTCGGAGCTGAAGAAATGCGCGGGAAAACGCGGGTGACCATGTCTCCATAGGTCGCAGTTTCAGTTATCATTGGTCAAGAGGGTGACGACAAGTTTCTTGACCAATCAAAACGCGAATTAAAAAAAAAACAGTGGAGTAACGGGTCGACACTTCATTAAAAAACTGCTCTGAGACAAAACAAAAGCAGTCTTGGTGACTAACCGCCGCTTAATTATAAAATGGAAAGATACCTAATGTGTTGTTCTCTGCAATCCTTAGGAGAACTATTTCCCAGTGCGACGCACTATTGGCCACTCAATAAAGTTTCTCAGGAGAAAAAGGTGAATGATTTACGAGGCAACAGCAATGGTAATGTTTACAATGGAGTCAAGCAGTCGACCGCTGATCAAATTGGAGGAGTACTGACACTAGATGGTAAAGATGCTTTCATTGAACTGTCAGGTTTCAAAGAGGAATGCATCGTGGACCCTTCTTCTTGCTCAGAGGGTTTGTCGGTGGCATTTTGGATAAAATACATCAAAGGTAAGAATCTTCAAATGACGTGGTCCTCACTCGGAGAAGTGTTTTCTGAGTCCTTTTAGCCGAATGAGAGACGGGTAAGTTGGGCAGGAGTCATGCAAAGGTATGCCGCGAAAGGAGGACAAAAACTAAAGTGGGGGGGGGGAGGATGGCTAATAGAAAACAGAAACGATAATAACAAAAAGTGTTGAAAGGCATTTGTTCAGTCAGACAAGGAAACTTTCTCAAATAACTTGCAAGACAGAATATATAATTTTTACATTGATGTACGAGAACAAGGTACCTCAGCTTAGATTTATCCAGGTAATTTAGTAATATCAACTAAGTTGAAATTGTAAATTGGCCACCGTTAAGAGTTAAAAATCTGACGTTTCGAGCGTTAGCCCTTCGTCAGAGCGACGAAGGGCTAACGCTCGAAACGTCAGCTTTTTAACTCTTTACGGTGGCCAATTTACAATTTCAACTTAGTTGATATTACTAAATTACCTTGTCACCCCCACCGACGCAGCGCCACTGTTTCTTTAGAAACTTATCCCCTTTATTAGATTTATCCACACTACCACCCTAAACCCATTCGTGTTTAGCTCTCGTTTAGCGAAGCGAATGTCTCTCTCTTGTTTGTTTGTTTGTTTTTTTTTTTTCGCTCATTGGTCGTTCGTCGTCTTATTCGTTTTTTTATTTGTTTGTTTGAGAGATTTTTCTGTGGGTGGTTCACCCGCTGGTTGTTTGATCTATCGGATCAGCAAACTGCTGTCATATTTGCTAGTTTTCCCTCTATTCGTTTATTTGTTTGTTCGTAATTCCGTGAGTTCCTCAGTTCGTTTGTTCGTTGGTGAGTCATCGTCAGTTCGTTTGTTGGCCAGCAAGTCATCGTTAGTTCGTTCGTTGGCCGGGGAGTCATCGCGACATTTGAGTTCGTCGGTTAGTCAGGTTCCAATCTCAGGAAATTCCTAAAATTGAGGTTTATTCGATCAAATTTATTTAGTTTTTTTTTTTTTTTATTTAAGGCGAATTCATTCTTTCAAGTGGACACTACACCTCATCATCGGTCGGCCCAGGGTACCGATTTGTCTGTGAAAATTGTGGACCCCATTTGACTTCGTCAGGGAGGTTTATCTTGGAACTTTCCAACCATTCGCACAAATGGAGAATTCTTCTCGATTCCCTCCCTAAATGGTGGTTTCACTTCGCTTTTACCTGGAGTCGAATGCACGGTCTGAAGTTCTACAAGAATGGCAGATTAGCCGTTAAGAGCAAAAAACCGGATTTTATAAGGAATGGAGGCAAAGCTACTAACAAAATATCGATTGGAAAACCCAACTCCCTTAACAGTATTTTCATGCCGAATAAACATGGAGAGTTCAGCATCGGGCACTTTGCTATTTGGATATACGAGTTGTCTTGGGATAATGTTGAACTGGCTTTTTTGTCTTCTCTTACGAAGACAACTTCTTCAATAAAATGCTGTCACTCCATGAAAGGTAACGTGTAAAAGAAAAACTATTTACCTACGACTATTAAGATTGAGTGATGGAATAACCGACAGGCTGACAGACCGACGGACTGGCAGAATGACAGACTGACAGGCTGACAGACTGATCGACCAACAGACAGATTAACCAACAGACTGACAAGCTGACTAACTGACAGACTGATAGACTGACAGACTGACACTGAGACCAACAGACAGACTGATACAGACTTACAAGCTAACGAGGAATAAGAGTAAAAGACTGAAACTGGTGAATGATTGACTGACTCACCCCCACACCCACTCATTCACTCACTTACGCACCCACGCACGCACGCGCCCACTCACCCACTCACTCACTTAACCACTCACTCACCCACTCACTCACTCACCCACGCACCCACCCACTCACTCACCCACTCACCCACCCACGCACTCACTGACTGACTGACTGAAAAAAGACGACGGTTGTTATAGCCCATTGTTTCCAAACAGAGTAATCAAAGAAATCTTAATTTCTAGCTTAGTTGAAACATTTAAATCTAAGATATTTTACTAGGTCATCCCTTTCTATCCATAAAGGCTGACATCCCTTTCTATCCATAGCTGATCCTTGCGTAAAGAATCCTTGTCACAACGGTGCAACTTGTCAGCGGTTGGAGAACAGATATAAATGTATCTGCGAGGTCAACAACCTGAACAGGAACTGCGAGCATGCTCCTGGTAACTAGTTTATTGACGCATTGTGTTACCCTGTATTATTGACAGGAGACGTGGTAGTTAAGTGGTTTTCTTTTTGGGCTCCAGATCGAGGTGTTTGGCTTCGGGCCCTGGTCGAGTCACTGTGATGCGTGCTTTGATTGGTCATTTTACTTCACAAGACGCCTTTCCATTCGCCAGCATTAATCGGTTCCGGTAAAATGTGTTTCTGGTAAATTGTTAGGGAGGGGGGGATGGGAGTGGCAAGAATGGTATCAGTTTTAGTATCAGTATCAGTGTGAGTTTTAGTATCAGTATCAGTATCAGTTTCAGTTTTTCCTCGCAACTTTACTTTTCACTCCTATGATGTCAGTTGTCAGATATCTGCACTGTCAGCAGTGCAGTTCTTACAAACTTTCCTCTGAAGATTTGATGCTGATTTACCCAATATCTCGCTCCGGACTGTATTCTATGTTAAAAAATTGTATTAGGGGAGCCCACAATTTCGACAGTAACGGGCCTTTAATTCGAGACTAATAAGTGAAATCGGGTTTGTGAGTAGTTTTTAAATACATCTCTGCAATTAGCATTTTCGGCGTCCTTAGTTATGCCACAATCATGTGATCTCGTACCCAGTTCTCTCAAGAAAAGTCATCTCACTGGAATGGTCAACGTTTATAACTGGAGTGATTCATTTGATTTCTTTCCAGTGCCTTGTGAAGACGCTATCGATAATTGCGACCGGTTCGTTCAACAGGATGGGTACTGTAAAAGTCACAAACGACGAATGTGGAGCATATGTCCTAAAGCCTGCAACTTTTGTCTTGGTGAGTAATGGCTCTCAGCAGGAGCGCGCAAGAGATTAAACACGTGGGAGAGAACTCCCTCTGTCTCACGTGTGAATTCTCATTTGCGCGTGATTCTCTCTCGCAGATGTGGCCTTAATGCCTGCAACGTTTTTCATGATTAGTACAGGCGCTTAGCTACTTTGCGCTCGCAAGGAAAAACACGCAGGAGAGAGTTTGCGCATTCCCTTTTTTTTTGTAAAAAATGGTATCTTCCTTTGACTTTGTTCAAGTAGTTGTTTCAAAAGATTCGTTTTTCTCGTTTTGACCTTTAGAGGGGAAACCAAGTGCAAAGCCCTGAAAAATGTTTCAAACGTTGCTAACTCGCTCATCTTGTCTCGTACTTCGTTCGCTAGTGTCATTTGTCGTACTGCAATAATCAATAAGGTTATTGTCAGACTGAGAGACCTTTAAGACAGTTTATGTCGCTATACACCACACTTGCACAAGGAGGCGTTTCATGAGGACCCTACACAACAGACAATTATTTCTAGTTGGTTTAGAGAATGGACTGGGTACGAGGAGGGAATTGTTCTTAGGACAATTTCTCCATGCTGAAGAGTTCTTCAGCTTTAATTTTAAAATCTTCCGTTTAGAGTAAATCTTTAGTTACGTTTTGTACTTCATGTATACTAAATGAATTTTAAGTTCGTATTGAGAAACGTTATCTCTGGCTTGATAGGGAAACGTTTGCAAAGATTTTATGTTAGATGTGAACCTTTGCCGTCGTTTACTGAGTTTATAAAAGAGGGGGCAATATCAGGACGAATGCATTCCTAGTTATATCTCAATTTTGAGCCAGAATAGAGCTGAAAATTGTCTCAACTAAAGTTTTCGTCCTAATTAAGATGCATGTCGAGTAATCCTAATGTATGTTTTGACGTCTAACCGCTGACTAACAAACCCTGCATGTTACTTACCGACTAACTTTCTGTCCGTGAAGGGCTGTCATCAGGAAAAAAAAAATCGTCCCTTTCGCCTCACTGCTTGAACTTCTAATCCACCAGATCAGATCCAAAACTTGGCTGTTCTTTTTCATCATCTCACTAAAATACACTAAATTTTTTTTTCTGCGCATGTTCGCCTTCACTCTAGATTCCATATCAAGCCAGGGATGACGTCAAATCCCGTCCCTATTCCACCCCCCTCCCGCAGTGAGCGTTTGTCAAATATCACTGTGGCACTGGCCCCTACCACCCGTACTGTCACGTGACGCTTTTGAACCATAAATGGTAATCCCAGTTTCACGTAATTTACTTACTTTTTAAAATCAATTTCAGTTTGGTTTTGTGTTATTGACTGTTTTATTCAATCACGTTTGTTTGTCAGTTTCTATTGGTCATTGTGTATGACAGTCCTTCATACAGTCACATGACATTCACGTGACCATATCTCAATACAGTAACCATTTACTTTACCAACTGTCCCGATTCTATTAAATGCCTCTATTTGCCAATGCTTTCGCTACTCAACTCCGCTCTTCTGCAGTGACTCGTCATCTTCAATCAGAAACCTCTGCGATTTTCAGTCTTTTCCGCCTGAATTAACTTGAAATCAGATCTTTTGAACCTGCTGAGAACTTTATTTCAATTTGGAGGTCAATTCTTCTACCAACTCATTTGCAATTTCTTTTCGTTCAGCCTCTTCTTTGTTATCCTCTCCTCATCCATTTCATCTTCTCTTCGTCGTCACTCGCTTTCCTTTTTTCTCTTTTTTCGTCGTCTTCTTTTCCCTCTTTTGCTTGCCCACTTCTTGTACTCATACATCTTCTTCTGGGGCCTGTTTGTCCTTTTCGTCTAATTTCTTTGTCTGGAGTTACATTTACCGTTACTTTCTCTCCATTCTTACTTTGCTCTGCTCTCCTCTCCTCTTTACGTTTCTTCTCATTCTTGACATTTTCTTCTCGTTTTTATTCTCTTTCGTTTCTTTCTATGCGTTTCCCTCTTAACGCGTACTTCTGCTATTCTTTTTTTTCTCCTTTTGATTCAGTAATAAATCTTACTTACCTCTTTTTCCTTTCCCGTCGCTGTCTTCATTTCTCCTCAAAGTTCTTGAACAAGCGTGATTTTTAAGTATAACTCTGTAAATCTCACAAAAGCGCAGCTTCAACTTACTGAAATTTCCATTGCATACGTCAGTTACAAACGGCTCTCTTCGAATAGACACGTTACCAGGCGTAAAGGAATCACATCTGAATTTACTACAGAGGACGCGAATAAACCTTTTTCACCAAGATCAAGCTCTATGTTCTATATACTTGAAGATGCATTTTTTAAGTGAGTGAAAGGCTTTTCTAACCTCTTTTTCGCTTCATCGAAATTGTATGCTCTTGAATTTCTCAGAAGCCGAGCATGTGATACGCGAAAATTGCGCAGCTGCTGCCACGAGAAAAATCTTTAATTTGAATTCTGATGTTTCACTATACGTTGCAAAATTATGATATTTTTTCCGGTACAAGTTTTATGGTACACTTTTATTTAATAAGTTCACCTAGAACCAATAGGAAAGATTGCCAAACCATCAATCAATGAAGATTATCATCTGGTCACTCCTACTATATCGCTCTTTGAACTTGAATTCTTGTTACGTATCGACAGTGTGCAGTTGTGGTTAAATTCGCTAACTTAAAATTCATTACAAATCTAATCAGGTAGCGCCTTGTGGTCTCATTAAACTTATTTCTTTCAGTTTAGAGTTAACAATTGGTTTCGTAATCGTGTTTTCCAATATTCTTTGAATTCTGCGTGTAATTTTTCTGTCTGTGAAATATCTTCCTGTAATGAGATTTAATTACTTAGAGGTGTTCGCTGTGAATTTCATTGTTTTGTCTAGAACTTGCAAAAGCCGCAAAATAAATTTTCCATAAGAAAGATTCTCTTTAGAAACAAATAAATCATCAAAATTTGTGTCCTGAATTTCGGTGAATTTCGATATTTAAGGATACAAATAATACTTTCAACTGGTTTATTTTTTTTCAATGTTGCCTTGCTTTTTTCCCCCTGTGCTTTAGTAAACATTTCTGACATTTTTCTCCGGGCCTTTTCCAGTACTCTACAATGCGTTGGACGAAAGCAGTTAAATTGGACGTTAGGCCCGCTGTACTTTCCTCGTCTAGTAGCAAATCTTTTGTTACCAAAATAAAACTTTTCATATTTTTCAGTAGTAGAAGGGAAAAATCGATCACCGCTTCTAGCAAAAGTTTAAGGGACAAATTCTCAAAGTACAGAATCCAGTTTAGATAGGAGAATAGTCTAGAGGCCATTTCAGAGGTTTACATTCAGAAAAACTTACAATTTAAATAAAACAGATTGCCTAATTGAGCCAAAATTGATGGACTTTCGCAGTGTGGACAATTTGCAAGTAGCAGATTTTGGTCACGAACAACCCTTATCGCTCGGAAATGTTCTTAAATTCTGTTAGTTTAGATCTTAGAGATTCTATCGGTAAATGGATGCTTTCAAAGTTGAATTGTACAAAAAAAAACCCTAACAATTCAGTTAAAACATTTCTAGTTTGAAGATAAATATTTTGAAAAGTTTCTACTTGATGACGGGACCGCGGAATTGAGCTAAAACAAAATTTAGCATCTGTGGAAATTTGTAAGAAATCTTAAACGGAAATTTCAACGCGACGGTTTGGAAACCTCATGCGATGAGGGTATCCTTCGAAAAACAAGCTCACAAAAAGTGTTCTCTAAATTTATTTTAAAAATGACAAACGATTGAAATATCAGTTCAAAATGTTTACAAATGCGACGAGTAAATTTTTTTCTGAAATCCCTAATGTTGTTATGGGAACTATGTATGAGAAAAACAAAGAAAGGCGAAATTGCTTTCCTGTAATTTTCAATGAAAATTGTCGACAATTTGCTTCCCTATGTTCTGGTAATGTGATAATAACTCATGGGGAATTTGAATAAACCAATATTATGAAAATAGATTTTAATTACATCGAGAGTACCACGAAAAGATCTAAATGCATTTTTAAAAAGGATTTAAACGAAATAAGAATTGACAAAAATAGGGTCATTCAGCTATCTCGCAGAGAGAATCTTTTAACTTCTTGTTTCGTTTGTTAGTTCTTAAAAGAGTTTTTTATCGAATTATGGCGACAAATTCATTTTCTCAGTTGTGAAAGGTTATCCGCCCTCGCGTTTGGCATAAATAGAAACTGAATATTTAATAAAACTAGTAAATCGTTTTCTTTCGAATTTCCGTGTGTATATTTGTCTTATTTTTCCGGCCCATGTGGTTTCTTGTTTGGTTATAAAACTCCACTATCTCTACAGCAGTCACAATTAAGAGATTTTATTGGCAGGGAGAAGAGCGCTGAAGGCAACACAAATCACAAGATGAAAATTACTTCGATGAGAGATGCAGTTGTAATCAAGGGAGCTGTTTCGATGTCGGGAAGCATGTCATTGGCCAAAATGAAGTCGCCACCTGTTTTAAGAATTAGTCGTGTCAATCAGTATTGTTTACTTTCCAGTGTGTTTGAATAAGACGAGACGGTTGATAACTCGATATTGTGTTGGCAGTGTTTTTCTGCACTAAAGTTCAGCTATTGTATCATTTTCCGCGGCGGGCGAAATGCACCAGTTGTCAGTGAAGAACTAGTGTGTATATTTTCACGCAAGTTTGGCGTCAGCGAAAATTTAGGAATGAAGTAAGCCACGAGATACTTGGATATGTTGTTCTTAAAAACTGCACCAACCGAGAGGTCAGTTTGCGCTTGGGAAATCGTCCGAAGCTGTCGTTTTTGCGGATTTATCTTTCTTGTTCTGTCGTCGATTTCTGCTTGCGAATCTTCCAGCCTAACTTATGCAAATATATCTGAAACCTCCATTTTCTCGCCACTGCAATCTGTGTTTTTCACTTCAGCGCCACCTCTCTCTGGCGTAGTACCTCGACAAACTGTTCGTTCATCTCAAGAGCTATCAAGCTTGGAAACTGTTATTAATTCTGTTAACGATGGATTTATTTCTCAATTTGGCATCCTCACAGGAGGCTCCGAGAAAGCAATACGTTCAACACAAGTATCGGCTTCCGCGAGTTTTAAAACGAATGTCCGACTCACTGAAACAACACCACGCAGTCAAATTGTGGGAGAGACACTTCAAAGTGAAAACCGCAGCGCCCAGAGTACAAGAGAAGGAGGTGAAATTTCCATTACGTCAAAAGTAGCGTACACGAAGCACGGATCAAAGATGGCATCCATGTTGAGCTCAAAACCCGTAGAAGCAAGCGACATGAAAGACAACAGCCGCTCACGATCAGGATATGAAATGATCGGCACGTTTGATAAGAGAGTTATCATTAGCACAAAAATACCATCTTTGTTCAGTGATTTTACGCCTAAAGGTACTTCACTTTTGTCTATCACACCAACATTTTTATTACAAGGTTCTTCTAAGCCACGGCGTAATGTGTCGGAAATCGCGGGGTTTTCATCAACGACATTGCGCCTTCATGAAAAATTCACTGCCTTGTTTTCCGCATTGACCTCCAATTTGCATGTTACAAGTAGCTTGCTTAGCAAAAATGATTTATCACCGGGAAAAAATCGCAGTAAATCAACATTTTTGTCACATTATTCTTCAGGTAGTACAACCCGAACGCATAGCATGTCGACGGCTATAAGGCCCCACAAAACTTCTCAGCTTTCGTCAGCATCCAGTTCACGCACCACAGTCATCAAAGAGTCTTTGTCGATCACAAGTGTCACTGCATTTCAGGATTCAGAGTCATTTTCAAGTACCGCCATTTCTAAAGTTTCATCATCGATATCTCTTAAAAAAAGTACCGGCGATGAATCGTACGCTAAACACACTTCGACATCAGGGCATGTCAAATACACGAACACACCATCTTCAACCGAAACGCCAGTGAATTCCATCAAAACAACATCAATAATCTCGCTTCCCGTAGCAACAGGTCATTTTTCATTCACCTTAGCTCAGACGTTGCTCTCATCTACGGTCGCTGTGCAAGAGAAAGCTCCATTAACTTGTAACATAAATAATGTCACTTGCGTTTGTTTTAACTGCGGGCAAGTGCGTCCAAAGGGAGGCATTTGTTGTATGGATCATGTCGACAATACGAAAACTCAACAAGGAGTTGTTATTAATATGATTAACATCACAGTTGAGAGCTTCTATCCAAAAGTAAACGTCGTTGCGAAAGTTATCGAAGGAGTGATTTGGGATTCGTGCATGACTAACTCGTCCCTTTGCTTAGGCGAAGAAAATGTTTTAGAGGCCATACGTGTTCGTAAGAAGCGTTCGGCACAAAGTTTTTTCTTCAATGACGACTTTCTGTTAGACATTTTAAGGATAAAGCGAGACTCAGAATCGGGTCATCATAGCTCACAATTTCGTGCATCACCAGTTAACGAAGGAGCACTTCGTCCTGATATTAAACCCTCTAATATCAATATCACCCGGGTACATGTGATAATATACGGTATTTACTCCAAGGCCGGGACTCCAAGTGCAGTTGGAACGGCCTTTTACGTCACGGTGACGTCACTTAGCAATGGAACCAATCACACGCAAGTTCTTGATGGCAAAGGTTTACTACAAATTCTCAGGGATAAGAGAAATGTTCTTGAGAATAAATTAAATATAACTATTGACTCATTCTCAGCTGCACTGCCGTCTGAAAGCTTGACGCCTTCTTCAGCATTGATGCCTAACCCCTCTGCCCCAAGCAAGAACCTGCAGACACCCTTAGCCTCCCCTGAAGGTAGGGAACTTTGCTTTGGTATAAAGTGTTAACTTCGGGAAACGGGATCGGGGAACTGGGTGCAAGTAATTAGTGGTGCTAGGGGGAAAACGAGATGGTGGAGACAGAAGCTTTTGTACTAAGCCTAAGGACACGTCAAATCTAACAAAGCTATTTATAGAAAGGTAAGGGACTGTTCCTTCTTTACCACCTGGGGATGGGGGGGGGGCATTTTGGTTATGTCCCAGTAAAATTTACGTGATCTCCTAATAAGGCTTTGTAATACTCTCATAAATCCCCCTCTCCCTCCCTCATTGGCAGTTAATTGGTAGTCAATTTTCTTTAGTCCCCCCATCATACCTGTCAGCGATAAATAATTTCTTCGTTCCCCCTGAAAACCATGTGATCCCCCCCCAAAATCCCCTCCCTGCTCTTTACAAGCGATAATTTATGACTTGTTCCATAGGGCCTTTATATGATTTGTCTTTTATATACGTCTCTTAAGATATACAATTTCTGTTAGGCATTTTTTATACCTTGCGTTGAGGAATTTTTTTTTAGGTTCTCCTACTACTTTGTAGGAGGGTTCGGGTAGGATGAATGATTGCTAAGACTTTTGCGCTTTTCGGTATTATGTAGAATATGAAATAGGACATAGAACATTGACATTGGTCAATCATGTTTCAGGAGGTTCAAAGGTCATGTTCACGAGTTGTGATCTTCTTTTTTACCACCTCCACGATCACGACTGATGACAGAATGTGTCAAAATCGCAAGTTTGACTCCTGACTTTAGAGTTTTGAAATGTTATTGAAAGTCGCGGGAAACACTGAAATGCAATGTGATCCTTTTTCGTTACAGTTCCAACATCAGCCGTACAGGGCAGCACAGATGGGGATGACAGCAAAGGCATTTCCCAGGGTATGCTCATCCTCATTATCTCCGCAGCCATCGGGGGCCTGGTACTACTTGTTGTTCTATCCGTGTTCATATTTACTCGCTTCTACAGGTCAGTGGAATTCCTAAGGCGTCGTTATTGATATCTAAGATACAATTTACTTGTTATTGAGAGGGGACTGGGTGCTCTGATATCTCTTGTTCACGATGACGTCACTCACTGGAATTTACTTCCCAAGACTCTTTTGCATTAAATTTTCCTAAATCTTTGCTACTTTTCTTTTGTTTTTGTGTGGGTGTTCTTTTGATTTCGGTGTTTTGGGAATACTTTAAAAACTTTATCAATCCTCACCTTGAAAGTCTGGCCAGGGAGTGAAATTGAGTATTTTGACTTGAAAATGCATACGACCAATTGCTGGTGTCCTGAATTCTGGATGGAAAGGTACGGGTACGAGTCTAGGCAGGTGTCATTGTGATGTGTTCTTTAGCAAAACGCGTTACTCTCATACTACTCCTCTGCATCCCAGAGTGTAAATGGGTACCGCCCAACTATTTGGGAAACCTGCCATTGTGCTGAGGGGGTGAGAAAGGGGGGAGGGGTGGGTGAAAATGAAGTTTGTGCTTGACTAGCATCCCATTTCGGGAGATAAAAAAAACTCATAGTCACCTCATGCCATGAAAATTAGGTTAAGTTTCACCGGCGTGGGACTTTTGGCTCGCGTGCAGATCAATAGACCAATAGGGTGGTGCTCTCTTCTTTGGGTACGTGAATAGTTGCGCACTTGTCGTTTATGTATTGTAAGAACTGTAAGTAATTGTGTCATCTTAAGATGCGGAGGATCCTGACGGAGGATGGGGGGGGGAGGGAAGGGTACGAAACCCTTCCGTCACCTCTATTATACCCGTGATTTTTTTTTCACTTCATGTCTGATATTTAAATGGTGGTGGTGTCGGAATATATTCCGTATAAATGATGTACAATGTGACCTCCTTTAGTCGTGCTGCTCATTAAATTCTTCCTGTTAAGCAAATTCCTCTTTGTTATTTCAGACAAAGAAAAGGAGAGTTCGTACCAGACAAGAATTACCCCAACCCCCACAGTAAACAAAATAGTGAGGCACCAGGTGTCGACGACGATGTCGACAACATTGCGTCATTTAATGACGTCATAGACCCGTCCACTCCCCGTATCACAGATGTTCCTCACAAACCCACTAGAACCCAGTCTTCTTCAGGAGGGGGTCCGGGCAGTGTTAAAAAACCAAAGAAGCCAATGGGAGTAAAAGTCACTTATAAACCGCCTAAGTGGGACTAGCTGATAAGGTAGGTGAGATTTTACACGCGAGCCAACTAACGCACATCGCCAGAGCTGATTCCGGTTTCCGTGGCATGAATAGTCCATGGCATGAATTCTCCCTTCTGCGTTGTATGGTGGGGGGGTTAAAGCCGAAGGCTGCCTGGGTTCAACTGTTAGGTGATGCATGGAAGGAAGAGTTCTGGACTGGACTTTTGCATTAAGGGATCAGCTGTATTATTCTACCCCTTGGATGCTAGTCCATCACATACTAGTCCATTACGGTGCCCTCCCCCCCCCTCTGTTAGTGTAAAATGTGATGGTAGTGTTTAGTATTAGAGAGTACAGGTCTGAGTGATTTTCCCTAAGAAATCTTGTTCACAGAATACACAATTTTTGGAAATTTACAAAGTTTTTAAACGCACTTTTAGAGCCACGTTTTTAGATCATGTCGTACTCGTTGCTCTTTTATCGTGTTGTGCTAAACCCTTTGATCCTAGAGAGGGACAGGAACCTAATTTCTCCTTACAATATCACCCCTGAATCATACATAAAGGTCATGAGGATAAACGAAATGATCACCAACTAGAGAAGCTCTTGATTGTTAAACAAATTCTCCTTGTCAGCACCTCAGGAATAGTATGGAGAATATGCGTTGTAGTGTTAGGGCTTGTAGGATTTAGGTCCCATGTGCTGTTTTCATAGATGCTCTGTGAGAGTAGATTGTCCCACCCAAGAACACAACCCAAAATTTGAACCTCTCCATTCAGAGTCCAGCGCCTTAGAAGCACTCCATGTTCATCATATTTCTTACATATGGTTCACATTTGTCCATTTTCAGAAAATTTCAACAACAGGGAATGCAAACGAATACAGATCACGTGGGAAACAGCGCAGTGACATTTTGTTCCGTGAAAGGAGTGGAAATTTCCAAACCAAACTCCAGTCAGCCGTACCTTCCCATACATCGGTAGAGGGCGCCTAGTCAGTTTACCAGCCAGTCAGAGAAAAGAAATTACGACCATGTTACCAGAATGGACCAATCGGTGACAAGTCAACACTCACGCTCACTGCTCATAGGTCCGTTTAGGTCACGTGTTCGAAAAGAAGTGATTCTGAATAGCTGGTAACCTGAACCATGGCGCCTTCGATTTGTCTCCAAAGAACTTACAGTTACCTTTGGGCTTTTCGCAGTCTTCTTTGAAGTCATTACGTATTAATAAATGCTGGGCATTTTTTTTTAATTTCAGCAAATTACAGGATAATTTCGTTTTCAAAAGGAGACTTTTTAATACAAGAAAAAGGATCGATTCAGTCTTCTTTTTTGTTAAGCGAATATACGAAAAGAATCGAATTTTGTTCAAAATAGACCGTGAAGTTAAATTATGTAAAATACGTTTGTCTGGAGAAACCGCGATATAAATGATAAGAACATGGTCTTTCCTTTTTTTAAGATAAGTGGTAATTTTCACCACTCTAGCTTTTTTTTACCCAAATCGTTTGAACTGAATTATTAGGATTGAAACAACTTTTCGTTGCAAATCGAAATTAGCCAAATCGAAGGACAAAATGCAATTGTCTCTTAGTGCACAATTATCTCTAAATATCCAAATATAGATGCGAAATTCACGTTATTGTTCTTGCTGCGAACTGTCGTTTTTTGTTTTGTTTTTATTTTGCCATGCAGACTTCCAACTTAAATAACCAATCGCAGTCAGTCACTAGACTTGCCTTTGAGTTCTCATTGGTTCGTTATGATAGAAACCTTTGTTCTAATTGGCCGCTGCTTTAACAAATAGTATTTCTCAATTACCAAGTGAGGAAGAAGTTAAGTGTCGATGTTCACCGAAAGTTTGAACGAGACTGTGATTTCTAACAGCAACCCCTTTGTCAAGTGCTTAAGAGTAAGAATACAAAAAACTTAAACTCGAAAGTTTCACTCAAATCTATTGATTACATTAAAATCTGGTAATAAACCTATACTTTGACTTGACAGAAGGTGGGGAATGCTCACCATCAGTATCTGAGAAACCCAGCGCCTATCCCTCTCCTAGCCAAATATTATTATAACATAACCAAAGTAAGGCGCGCGCTCTGATTGGTCAATTTAGCGTCCCCCATTTGCCCATGGGTGTACGCTGCTGACGTGAGCAAATGCAAAGACTACTTTTACGCGCGCGCTTGTCTTTTCTGGTCGCGTAAGATTTGTTAAATAAAAGGGAACTCTTTAGCTACAATGTATCAATGTTATGTTATAAAACAAATGGTAAACACCACAGCGTACACTATTGAGTTATGGATGCACTTGGGAGGTTTGCTAAGCACTCAAGAAGCTAGAGTCGCTCTCGGCTATCGCCTCGAGCGACTCTTACGCTTCTTTCGTGCTTAGCAACCTCCCGCGTGCATCCATAACTCAATAGTGTACGCTGTGGTGTTTACCATTTGTTTTATAACATAACATTGATACATTGTAGCTAAAGAGTTCCCTTTTATTTAACAAATCTTACGCGACCAGAAAAGACAAGCGCGCGCGTAAAAGTAGTCTTTGCATTTGCTCACGTCAGCAGCGTACACCCATGGGCAAATGGGGGACGCTAAATTGACCAATCAGAGCGCGCGCTTTACTTTGGTTATGTTATAA